GACTACCAAAAGGGAGAAACCCGTGGAACTTTCTTGACCAACACCATGATCTGTGTACATAATAAAACTGTATATTGAGAGGAAGATGGTCGACAACCCAACATCACGATATTTTAACAGGACAATACGACATTTTACGCGACATTACGACATTTTTAATGTCGTCGTGTCTGGTAAAATGTCGTATTGTCTGGTGAAATGTCGTGTTGTCGTCGTGTCGGGTTAAAATGTCGTGATGTCGGGTTGTCGCCTTATGAAGGACGACACCACCATATCAGGACATGATACCAATCAGCCACCATTTTTTTTTAATACCCATAATTTATAGTATTTTTTAAAGTGCACCCGCGGACCAGTGAACCAGCGGATTAGTGCACCTGGGGACTAGTGCACCCCTCCCCTACATCCAATTCACTTATGATCAATTTTAAATACTGCTCTTCTCTTGAATAAAATACCGTTTAAACCAATTTGAACTAACAACAACGTGGTGATTGATTGATTTGGATGAAGGGATAGAAAATATAGGTATCTCTTTCTAAACCCACTGGTCTTATTCTATTTTCAAAAGAATCGTCTAGACTGCTTCTTATACGTGTCATATTGTTCAGAAAGAAAGAGAAGAAATAGAACGAATTAATCGCATTTCTCTGGAGGAAATATTTGCTTGGGCGTTCCTTTCATTGTTCACAAAGAAAGAGAAGAAACGAAACGATTTAATGGCATGTCTGCAGTAGCGGATTATCAGTGAGGCTGATGAGGCTGCAGCCTCAGGCCCAAAGATTTTGTAAAAAAATTTTTTTTAGACTTGTCTGATACGATTAAAAACGCATAGACAATGAATGTTAGGGGGTGGGGTTTAGGCCCAACGGGAATTAACATAGGCCCTGACCCGAAATTAATCAGGCCCACACCATTTTAAATAGGCCCTATTGTTTGGAGATCTGATCTTATTTTTTAAACGTAGGCCTACAATGTATGTTAAATCCTTGTAATTTTTCGGTTATGTCTTGTTTAATATTGTATCCACGTGACGTCATTTATGGGCATATAAAGTTACATTACGTTTTTAATGTTAGCAAACTACCTTGGCTCTAACTTTAAAAACTAAATAGGCCCTCCAGCAACTGGCGCCTCAGGCCGTGGTGGAGCTTAATCCGCCACTGCATGTCTGAGTCGATCATTGAGCATGTCTGAGTCGATCATAGAGATTTCGCTTGAGAAAATATAATTAACATGCTGTTCTATAATAATATCCACTCCTTGAGTCAACTGGCGTGGTTTCGAATCCCCGGTTGTACGTGACAAGGAGTAGGGTCGCCTGTCCAACCTCGTGGGTTTTCACTTTAGTCCTCCGGTTTACTCCCACTGCTAAAGACCCCTACGCGCAAGCGAATTATTGAAATAAAATTAAACCATATGTTAGTCTCGAAATGACCTAATCTGTGTCGAGTGGACGTTAAATCCCATCTCTCTCCCTCCCTCACCCCTTAAAATGAATTATGACTTAGAAATAAAATGAAACTTACAATTATTTAGTTTTGAATCATTATTCTAATGGAACACGTGTTTTTGTGTCAACAAGAAAGCTCATTACAAATAATTCCGTGACATATTCGTATAAAATAGAAAGGTTCTAGGCAATGGAAACTTGTACAAATAGTTTTACAGGGTTCGTTACTGAGAAATCAATGTAATTGTTCGGGGCTTTTTGTCGGTCGATAACCCTTTAAACTTGACTACCGACTACCACGCCCCCTTCAGAGAAAAATCAGTAGTAAAATAGTGAACTAATCTCTGTTAAAACTAAAATAATCGCGAACGTAAAACGCGTAAAACGTAAAAATCAAACATTTCGTAGTCGTTTTCGTATTGCATTGACTTGGGTATAAATTTTGAAGGTATATTTCGGACAGCCCCGTGTGTGATTGCGGTCATTCCTTCGAAGATACCGATCATTTTCTTTTACATTGTTCCTTACATTCTGATGCACGCAAAATATCTATAAATCTTTTATCACCGAATTTTATCAATACAAATAATCTGTTATACGGTGTAAGCAGTAGTCATATTTCGTTAGCCATATCTTTGACAAGGTCCACATGTTTTTTGACCTCAGCAGAAGGTTTAAAGATCAGTGCAGCATCTATATCGATCAAAATGCGTACATGAACAACTGCGTAGCCAATGTGTAAATATGTATATATACTATTCAAAAAAAGTAGGGGATATTTGATTTTTAAGTGTTATTAAAGTCACCTAATGAAACTGACGAAGAAACAAATGACAAAATGAAATGAAGTTCACATTCATCGATTTATTCCAAATGATCGTTAGACTAAGTAAGGCACAGACTGACCATTATAAGGGTAAAATGATACCCGGGGTCAAACAGCAAAGTTACCACAGCATCACAACCAAGTCAGTAACGGGTAAATCCTCCTCTGTTTGCCAAACAAGCTTTGATCCGACGTGGCATATTCCTAATGAGACGTCTAAG